GAAGGAAGGAGGGAGGGAAAGAAAGAAAGAAAGAAAGAAAGAAAGAAAGAAAGAAAGAAAGAAAGAAAGAAAGAAAGAAAGAAAGAAAGAAAGAAAAAAGGGAGAAAGAAAGGGAGAAAGAAAGAAAGAAAAAGAAATGACATTCTCTTCCTAGAGCCAGTCTTTGGCATCAGAGGCTGTCATGCTCAGGAGACCCTGGCACTGCAGTCAGGCTGTTGGGGAGGAAGGAGCAGAGGCTGCAGGAGTCTATTACGGCGCTTTCCAAGCCACCTTCTCTTCCTGGTGCCGCCTGCATGAGGCACCATCCTCCTCATCCTGTGATTTTCCCTGTCAGCAACCTGCCCATCCTCTGGAGAGAGGTGAGGGGGCCCCTGCAGCTGCTACATCTCTTTCCTCCTCAAGAATCGCTACACTTCCCTTAGTTCCTTTCATGCCTGTCTTAAAAGGAAGCTGATTTAAGCACACTCAAAGGTTCATGGAACATTAGATAATGCTCTTGATGTACCACATCCTGTAGATGCTGAGAAGCTGGTCACGAACCAAAGCCACAGGCTGGGCCAGCTTCCCGGGAGGAGAGGGGACAGGAAGACTTGAGGGGAGGCCCGTTCTCACCTGGCAGTCATAGAAAGGGTGTCCCCGCCAGCACATCACATCCAGGACGTAGTAGGTCTGGCTCACTTCACTGTAAATGCAATCTAGGATGGTGTAATCTGCAGAGACAGCACAGTCAGGATTCTGCTTCCACTTGGGCCTCTGCCACAGTCGAGGGAGGCCCAGATGATCCCAGTGCCACAGCAGTGGCCAGCGCCAAGGACAGAGGACTCAGGAGGAAGTGGGTTCAGGGCCTGTCTGCCTCCTGCTGTCCCTCAGGGTGGGTGCACAGAGGGATCCAGACAACCCTTTAGCCATGGGAGAATTCTGAACTTTTAGACAAATTGGGACACTTATTAATCTTTGAGAAGCTCAGGTCTGAAAGAAAATAATCTGTTTTGTTTACAATTTTTTTTTTAGAGCCAAGGTCTCCCTACACTGCCAGGATAGCCTTGAACCCCGGACTCAAGTGATCTTCCTTCCTCAGCGCCGCCCCCCTCCCCTAGTAACTGGACTAAAAATATGCACTACCATGCCCAGCTTAGTCCCATTTTTCATTAGTGCATATTAGTTACAGAGATTAATGAGTTTCATTTTGGTGGATCCCTACATGCATACAGCAAACTCTTACCTCAAAGTTCCATCCCCCATGTCCCCTTGCCCTTCTTCCTTCCTTTCCCCATTCCCTTTCTCTTCTCTAATAGTCCCTCTTCTGCTATCAACCATCTCTCTTTTTTTAAGATTCCACATATGAGGGAAAACATGTGATACTGGTCTGATTCTGGCTTATTTCACTGAACATGATGGTCTCTAGTTTCCTGCAAATGACATGATTTCATTTTTTTGACGACTGAGTAACACTCTGCTTTGTACGGCCACATGTTCTCTATCCAGATGCCTGTGGGTGGCGACTGAGGCTGATGACATAGGTGAGCTATTGTGAACTGGGCCTCAACGCACATGGGGATGTGGGTTCTGCTACAGCGCGCCGACTTTGGTTCTCCCACAACATACAAGCAGTGGCGCAGCTGAATTAAGTGCTATCTTGTTTGGATTTTTGAGGAATCTCCACACTGATGCCCAGCATGGCTGTACTCATTTACATTTCCATCAACAGTGTACAAGGGTTCTTTTTTCCCCTGCATCCTCACACTACATTTATTATTTTCTGTACTCTTTTTTTTTTTTTTCTTTCCATTGGTACTGGGTATTGAACCAAGGTACTCTACACTAAACTGCACCCCTGGCCCTTTTTATTTTATATTTTGAGACAGGGTCTTGCCTAGTTACAAAGCTGTCAGGCAGGATTTGAACTTCGCGTCTTCCTGCCTCAGCCTCCCCGAGTGTACCAGCAGGTCAAGCTTGTTTTCTGTATTCTTTGTGACAGCCCTTCTGGAAGTTGAGCATCTTTTCATGTACTTATTGGCCATTTTACAACTGCTTTTAAAGATCTTACCAAAAACATTGTGTCACACAGGGAATATTAACTACATTGCCATTAAGGAAGCTATAGTCCAAGCCAAGTGCTGCATGCCTGTAATCTTAGCACTTGGGTGCCTGAGGCAGGAGGATCCAGAGTTTGAAGCCAGCCTGGCCTACCTAGCAAGTTCAAGGCAACAGAGACCCTGTCTCAAAAAAAAAAAAAAAAGGATGGCCGTGGTTTACACCCCACAGCTGCTGAGTGCTTAGCTAGGCCAAGCAAGAAGAGCTACGGTTTTGATGAAGATGAAGGAGAATGAGGATTTGGCAAGAAGTCCCAGCAACTACTGACTACCATGACACCAGACAACCTCTCAGGGACTTTTACTAATACCTTCATCTGTCCCCCTTGTCGAGGAAGTCCACAGTGTGCTGACCTTGAGTCGGAGACACAGAGCTGCATCTACTGTTCGGCCCTGGGGGAACAGCGTTTCCCTGCAGTTTCCATGGAGCACTGGCAAAGCGGCCTCAGTATAGCACTGAGCACGGACCACCAGCACTGATTCACAAAACAGCGCACAGATGCCTCACATTGGTACCTTTGGCCGTGGTGGAGTTTCGCCTGTTGCCTCCGGGCAGAAGGGAAGGAAATCTGTTGACACAGTAGCCACTCTTGGTGTAGGCACTGGTGGAGCCCTGCAGGGACAAAACTGTCTTGTGAAGCGTCTCCTATGTCCTCTGTGGCCCCTGGGCCTGCTCCTGTCCTCCTCTGAGTTATCAGCCTGACATGGCTCTCAGTGAGTCCCTCGTACAGTGCAACCTCTCAAACCCACACGGAGCACATGGACACGGCTTGTGGCAAAGGGAAAACAGGCACAACTCACCCTGGAAGCGACGATCAGAGCCCTCTTTCCAACGGGGCACACAACCACAATCCATTCCTGCCCCAGGTCTGAAGGGACATCGATCAGCCACTCAGATAGCATCAACTGGAAACACAATAACACAGTGCTAAGCTGGGCATGGTGGTGCACACCTGTAATCCCACCACTCCGAAGGCTGAGGCAGGAGAGTCATAAGTTCGAGGCCAATCTGGACTACCTAGTGAGTTCAAGGTCAGCCTAAACTATATAGTTACAGCCTGTCTTTAAAAAAAAGAAAGCCCACAGTGCTAAAGATCAGCAGGGTGCTGGAAAATGCTGCAAAGACCAAGTACCTGAGTCCTGAGACAATCAGGACAAAGACAGGAAAAGATGACAGCTCCACCCACGTACAGCTGACCCTACTGTGCCCTTTCCCCGATCACCAGCAGTGGTTCAGGGCCACACCTCCGAGTGAAAAAGGCCCTGCCCTGGAGATGCAGGGGCCATGCCTTCATTTCCCAAATGGCTGCCCCAAATACTGTCCTAAACGGCAGGGTGGCGCATGCCTATAATCCCATTATTCAGGAGGCTGAGGCAGCAGGATCACAAATTCAAGGTCAATCTGAGTAACTTGTTGAGAACCTGTCTCAAAATAAAGTAAAATAAAGGCCTGGGGGTAGAGATCATAAGGCCTTAGATTCAATGCCTAGTACATCAATCATTAAATAAATTAACCAATTAATTAATTAAGATATTAGGAAAGGTTCCATTCCATTAGTCACACAACCCCCAACCGCTCTTTTGTCCTTGTTATGCAGCCCAGGCGGCCTCACAGGCGCCCCCATGCCTGGCTCTTACTTAATATTTCCTGATGCTGTCTTCCTACGCACTCTGACTCCTTCGCCCAGATGTGCTGCTGCATAGCCCTGCTAAAAGTGATCCCCTCCCCACCTGCCCTGCTCCACTTCCTGCTGTGTCATGCGATCGGCCACATCTTCCTCCATCTCCTCCTCATCCTTCTTTTCCTGTTCGTGGCCTGGGATCGCAGGCGAAGGGAGTTGGGACAAGCGGGGGTCTGGTCATCTCTGGCCCACTCACCTGATTAGCGTAGCGCTTTGGTAACTTCTTCCCAGCGTCGATGTCCATTTCTTCATCATCTTTTGTGTCTTCATCCTCACTCTCCATCCCTGTCCAGTCGTCTTCAGCCAGCCTTCTGGCATGGTTCACATAATCCAGCCGCTTGCTGGAAGAAAAAAGGCACAAGGAGAGCTGTTTAATCTACCCGAAGATATCGACCATACCATGTGGCAGAGTCCGTGTAACTCAAAGCCTCCAAATCTGGGGGCTGTCTGGCAGTTCCAGTGGGTGTAAAAGATGATGGAATTTCCTTTGCAAAGGTAAACTAGTGATGTTGCCTCACAGTCCCTAAGTAAGAAATTCCGCAGACACACTCAAGCCTTCCTCAGTTCTGTAAGAATGGACAGAGTAAGATATTGAGAGGAATCTCCAAGGCTCACTAGCCAGGCAGCTGAACCCACCTTTGCCCACCCACTGAGCCCGGGTGAGATCTCACTTCCTGCCTGGCGGATGCCAAACCCCGAGGGCCCTGCCCGGGTGAAAGGAAGTCTGGAGACACACTGAGAAGTCTAAAGTGAGACAGTGTTTTGAGAGGCCAGGCCCTTCTTCATTTTTGTCTAACTCTTGAGGAAGGCCACTTAGTTTATGATTTAATAGTGCTATTGATTATTTCTCTTTATTATCTTTCTTTCTTTTCTTAAAACTATACATTCTAGAAAGTTAGGGAAATTGTGAGGGAAGAAAAAGAACCTTTTGAAAATTAAGTGTTCCAAACTGATTTGGAAATACCACGCCTACAATAACCTACAATAACCGCCTACACTTGATTCTGAAAGGGAGGCAGGAATTGGACCACCACAGCTGAGAAACTGACACAGCTGGTTTCTTCTTAAACACACGTTTCCGCACAGTAATGCGAAGTGCACATATGAAAGTACAGGGGTCTTTTCTGTCAAGGGTGAAAACGAGCTGGTATCCATGCACACATGTGACAGGATGTCTGTGGGTATTTCACAGGTACTGCTGGTGACCACAGAAGAGAGACAAGTCCCACACGCCCCCTGGCAGACACCTGGGTGGGTTACATGTGAACCATCCCTTCAGTGGGACCAGAAAGAAGGGCTGATGTGGCACTTTATGAACTGATCAAAAGGACACTGTGTGCATTGCTTCTTTTTTTTTTTTTCTCCTGTCTTTTTGAGACAAGGTCTTACTATGCAGTTTAGGTTGGCCTTGAGCTCATTTTGTAGCCCAGGCTGATCTCAAACTCACAACAATCCTCCTGCCTCAGCCTTCTGAGTCCTGGGATTACAGGTGTGCACCACCATGCCTGGCTCCATGCACTGCTTCTTATGTTGTTGTTTTTGTTGTTTAAAAAAAATGAAAGGCCAGGAGTGGTGGTACACGTCTGTAATCCCAGCACTAGGGAGGCTGAGGCAGGA